AAAACACTTGCTAAGTGTTGGATCGGGCCATTTTGTGGTATTCATTAAAATTCAGTGAGAACACTATTATGATTTAGATCCAAAAACATCTGTCTCTGTGGATGAGTCACTTAATGGTAGCAGACCAAGGGCTGCATTAAAAAGGAGGCATGCTAATGGTGCCATTTATCTAGAATTAATATCTTTAATGATCGAGTGCTTGGGGAGGTTTTCTGCCGGTGAACCAACACCAGCGTTATCTGCTGGAGGCTTTGTTAAGGGTTGCAGACGTTTATTTGTGGTTTGATATAATATTTAAGGATTTGATATCTAGTGAAAAAGTAAGGCTTGAGTAAATATTCAATGCCTACATCACAGCTAAACAAAATGAGTCCTTATTTTAGCTGCAAATGTTGTGTGGCTAATGGAATGGCAATGTAGGCAAGAAGTTTTTGACATATCTTCAATTTGTAGAGGATGAAACCTAATAAATTTAGTGATCCACAGATTTACCCCCAGCAGGTGAGCATTTTCACTTAATTAGTGAAATATTTCAACATCTGCAGAATAGATTTCTATATTCATAGTTCCCAGATGATGAATGCAAATAAGTTTGGTGATCCTCAACTTTTCAGATATTGGAACCATGAGATTCAAAAATGTGGTTTTGGAGCTCCATAACATCTGGAGCATCCACATCCTGGTGATCCGTTACCTTTTGTTGGTCCTGGAGGAAAGTCCACTGTTTGGTCTATGTCTTAATACCTTCAGAACTAATGATATTCCCCTCAGCTTCAGCGGTACTTTATGTTTAGTACTAATCGTGGATCACGGCTGGATTATCCTCCTGAGGGAAAATAAGTTGTTGGGCATTTTTCATTGTTTCCCCAGGCACCCAGAAACCAGCAAGCATTCTGAAGCTAAAATAAATCTTTGTTGTAGTAGAGTTGCCGGTTTAAAAGTAAACTCATTATATTTTGGTTTTTGAATGTTGTGCACACAAAAATGGGTTTACTTGGGCTTCAGGCAGATTATAAGAGGCATATTTTTTGATCATTTTCTGACATTTTACAGACTAAACAATGAACCTTGGTGCTTGTTAGAACAGGCTAAGACACTAAACTATTATGTTAAGTATGGTAGATGTTATACCCATAGACTGTACAAAAGATGGACATAGCTACCGTGACGTCACACGTTGGTTTCTACACTGAGAAAATGAAGCCAGGGTTTTGCTACTTCCTGGTTGACATCTTGGATTTTTGGAGCCAGTGAGGCAAAAATCGTCGGAGGGGGGCGGAGCCATAGGAGCAGCGATTGGTCAGATAGATTGAGAGGCAGGCCCTTTCTGCGCACCCACATTTACCACCGTCTGCTTGCTGCCAACTGTTAATCAAACCAGCCACGCCCCTTGCCCCGCAAAATTTTGACGATTTTTTAAAAATTCAGTATTGATTTATTTTCAGATTGGCCACCTGATCTCTGGATTTGACTATGAAAACTAATAAGAAAAAAATCCTGAGCTGTAGGAATGTAGTATTTCGTGATCTGTGATCAGTTCTTTTCCAATTCATTTCTATGGGAGCCAGGGCTTTTTGGAGCCAGCAACTAGCAGACGTAGTGATATTGCAGGTTTTTGACACTTCAGGGTTGGCTTCATTTTTCAGGGCCAGTTGCTACGTCCATCTTTTATACAGTCTATGGTTATACCTGCTAAAAATTACCTTGTTAGTATTGTATTCATGAGACTTGCTAGCATTAGTATTCACTCAGAGTCTGCTGGCTCTTATTTCTTGCTGTTTTTTTGTTTTGTTTTGTTTTTTGTTTGTTTTTTGACAAATCAACAAGTAAGTTTAAGATATAGGTTAAAACTGAAGTAGGGGCCCCCCTATAGCTCACCTGGTAGAGTGGGCGGCCCATGAACAGGGGCTGTAGTTCCCCGATGCAGCGGTCGTGAGTTCGAATCCCGCTCACGACCCTTTGCTGCAGGTCTGTCCCCATTCTTCTCCCCCCTTTCCTGTCTCCCTCTACTGCACTAAATAAAGGCAAAGGCCAAAAAAGTATATTTAAAAAAAAAAAAAAAAACTGAAGTAGGAACTCACAATGAAAATGTCAGGATGGTAAATACTAACAAGTCTGTCCTGATCATATTTGATTTGAGCTTTTCTAAATAAACCTTTTCTTCAGGCATAAAGCAATCTGATCAGCCCTCCTTTGGTAAGCGTTACCTGCACTCTTTGTTTGCATGAGATCTGCATGTGATAATTAACCATGCCACGATCCATGTAATGAGAGATTATTTTTAGAAATGTTCACAGATCAGACATGGTGGGAAGACGTAGAACGTGCAGGGAGAGAAAGAAACAAGCACACTGAAAAGATCCAATCTTCCCACACTGTTTAAAGCGAAAGGGATAGTAGCAGATGGTAATGTGCAACAACACGGAACGCCTGCTTAGTAACAGAGTTTTATATCACCAATACAGAGCAGACTGGAGATGACGCTTGTGCTGCCAGCTTCAATAAGTTCCCCATTAGACACGCTATCTAATATGTTTGTGTATAGTACATTCACACGCACACTCACACAAACACAGTTGAGTTTGTATTTCCTGTCAGTGCTGCATTAATAAGCTAAGTGTTCTCCCCACATTTTGAGCATCTTTTAATGCGTTTCCTCTCTTGTCTTTGTTCACAGCCGATGTGAAATGAACCAAATAAAGCCAGACACAGCTAACTTTGAAGGAAGTTCTTTTTACATTAGAAAATATTTGATCAAAGGGGAGTCTTTTGATTTCATAATTGATCATTCAAATAAAAATAATGAAGCAAGCCTGATTATCAAGTGCACCTCTAAAGGCTATGGTGATTACATGTGGGAGAAATTCGAAAAGAAAAAAAGAAAAACTTTTGCATTTTGCATGATGAGTCATAGATTTCAGTCTTGAGGATGGTTGGACTAGATATTTAATCTGGTTACTGGTAAGGAGGAAAGCAGATTTTTTTATTTTTTCTCCCATAGCTGTCCTCTAATGACCTGAGCTGCCGTCTGTACTCAGCTGTGTGCCAGGCAGGCCCTGGGCCTTCCTTGCATCTATCACCACAGTCACAGGGTAATGATACAGGCGAGCCAAGGGGAGGCAGCTCAGGGGCCAGACATCTCCATCTTCGTTCTCAAGAGTCACACTGACCTACACACACACACACACACACACAAAAGACTTTTGGACTTGGATGACATTGGCCAAATCTACTAATCTTATTACTGTTTCTCCAATGCCTGCAATCCTAAAGTACATTTCAATCTTCTCTCAAGTTCTATAATTACTTTTTTCCTCCCTAAGATAGAAAAGATTAGCTACTGTTCCTTTTTTTTTTTTTTCCCCAGTAAGCCTTTGTTGATATGTGAAAATGTCACCCGCTGTCTCTGTGAACTCATTTACTGATTTTTCCATACGAGTTTGGCACAGCGGTGGTGTGTTGGATTTGCTCCCGGAGGACAGGAAGTCTTTAAAAGTTTAGGAGTAAACAAAAGAAGACTGATATAATTGGACTCTGAGGGTAAATATTATTCCAAATGAGCTCCCCAGAAATACTTGGGAAAAGATGGTAGAAATACATACATTTCTCAGTAGGATTTTACAAATAAGCGCAACCTTGTTGCTGAAGTGCATTGAAATTACCTCTGTGCCACTCTCCTGTCATTCAGAACTGAATGAATCACAACTCTGGGTTCTAATACTTACATCTGTACATCTGAGAGCTATTTGGTATTTATAACAGCTCTATCATATGTGTTTAAAAAAAAAAAAAAACATTATACAGTACATTTATTTTTGTAAAATGAGACATTGTATTATTTTATTTAATTTTTCTCTCTATGAGTCCTTTGGAATTTCCTGTGATGCAGGTGGCAGGCTGCAATCTGTAGGTTTGTATGCTGAAACTAGTTAGCTGTAAGCATGAATATGTTCAATACTTCAGCTTGTCTACACTTATTAATCTGAAGACAATAAATCTAACTATCCTTCGAGCTCAGTCGGAAGCAAGTTTGACTGTTGAAGTCAGTAAAATGTGCATAAATGTAATAATTATTAGATGGATGAATTCTTTTTATTATTAGAAAATCAAAAGATTGAGCAATGAGTGAGAGATTTTCCACTCCAAACCATGTTGACAAGAAGATTCATCTCGAAATAATCATAGCCATTTCTCATTTTAAGAACCGGTTTCAAAATAAAAAGCTCTTTAAATATGAAGCTGAAATCAATGCAGCTAACCATACCGAAATATGAGATGTCTTTAAAATTGACTTTTTAGAGCTGGAGCCCACTTGTATCAAATAGCTCTTTATCCTTTAAACTGAGATCAATGCCACTGAGTGAGACTCTCTGTTGAGTTTCTGCAGCTGCTACTCTGTCCAGAGAGAGAGCCACTTACAGCAAGTTTGACCAAAGTAAGGAGAGGAACAACAATCTTCACTCCCAGAGGAACAACAAAAACGTGTTTCATCCACACCTCTGTCATTCATCTTCTTCATTTACAGACCGAGGAATGGAGACAAACTGCGTGTACAATAAAAGATTAAAATGAACTGTAACACTGAGAAACACAAAATAGACTTTCTCTGTATTCTCTATAGGCAGTGGTGCCTTAGCAACTGCATATTAAGCATTTTCTCCTCAGTTCTTCTGTGATGTAGCCTAACTCCTGTTATAGTGGTGGGTTTACAGATTGCTTATTATTAAAGTGTATTGATTAAATTTAAACAATTGTCTTTTTGGAAACTGGGATGCAGCCAAAAAATAAAAAAATAAATACCACTAGAATAAATGTATTCAGCATGTCAATTCTGAATAGTTGTTGTTACGCCTGTCAAGCGGTTTAAGATGTTGTGTCAGTCACTACTATAAATCCCTGTTTGCCCCTTCAGGCTTACATGTGTTATCTCAATCAGTGAGTCAAAATCGAGCTCTGCACATTAAAAAACAAGCAAGTGTGTTGTGGTTTTTTTTTTTGTTTTGTTTTTTTGTTTAATACATTTTGCTTTAACCACACATCTGAAGTATTGTTGCAACACCACAATTACACATCAAGATTCTTCCAAAGAAAGGTACAGCTGGAGTTACTTCAGACATATTTGATCACAAGTACAGCTGGAAGGAGGACTATAGTGTGACACTGTCTACGACTGTAAACAACTACAGCATTCTCTGTCTTTTTCATCTGATCCGGTCAGAGTGGTGGCCTGCTTGGATGTGGGGGGCCACAAGAGTGCACAGTGAGATTTCATATTCAGGCTGTCCTGTACATTTGCTTGCTTTCTCATTGTGAGGGACACATAGATTAACACATTATTGCACTGAGCTACAGAGAGGCAAATGGTCAGACATCAGTGGAAGGAAGCAGACTGGTGCGGCACAGGCTTCAGCACCCTGGTCAGCTCCTCACGCAGTCACACTGTGTCCTGGATCACACCGGTTCAGTGTATCGACTCATTCAGACTCTGTTCACTGGGTGAACTGCGGCTCATGTTTGACAAGCTCGCCATGAGGGATTTCACTTTGTGTGCATAATAGTTTCTCAGGTTAACCGAGGGCACCTCTTTTATCCCCTCGTCGAAATCGCAGCTCCTCATTGCGATTTCGAGCTGCTTTTGTCTCTTGTAGAAGAGGGAGAATTTATTGAATATGAGCGTAATCGGAAGCACAACAACTAAGATCCCGGCCAGGATGCAAGCCGAGGCGGTCAGCTTGCCCGCTATAGACACCGGCACCACGTCTCCGTACCCCACCGTGGTCATGCTGACGGTGGCCCACCACCAGCACGCTGGGATGGTGGACAGGTCCTCGCTGTCCTCTTTCTCCACCGTGTAGGCCATGACGGAGAAAAATGACACCCCGACGGCCAAGTAAAGAAGCAGCAGGCCCACTTCTTTGTAGCTGTTCCTGAGGGTGGCCCCGAGGGAGCGCAGCCCCGTGGAGTGACGGGCCAACTTCAGGATGCGGAAAATCCTCATCAGCCTCAGCACTTGCGCAACGCGTCCTAGGTTGGCCAGCGCTGGACTGCTCTCCACCACCAAGTTTATGAGGAGTGTCAGGTAAAACGGAAGTATGGACACCAGGTCTATTACATTCAACGGGTGATCGAAGAAGTGCAGCAGATCTGGGGCCACCACAAATCTGGCAACCAGCTCCAGAGTGAACCAGCCGATGCCAAAGTGCTCCACGGTCTCGAAACGTGGGTCCTCCGTGGGTTGGCCCTCACTGTCTAATAGGCTGAACTCGCTCATGCTGTTCATGCACATGGTGGCGATGGAGCCGAGCACCACCAGGATGGAAAGGATGCTGATGATGCGGCTGGCCACGGAGTAGCCGGGGTTGTCCAGCATGAGCCACACGCGTCTCCGTGCGCTCCCCAGCAGCTGCTTGTCAAACTTGGTGGCGTCGTTGTAAAACTCCAACAGCTCGTCAAAAGATGATGTGGTGCTTCCCTCATCGCTCCGGTCGTCCCAGTCTTCCCGGTCCTGGTCCATTTTCCTACAGTGGTAGGCGCTGCTGCAGCAGGAGTCGATGAAGAACTCGTTGATGCCCCAGTACTCGATCTCCTGGCTGAAGGAGAAGATGCACAGCTCGGCCATGACGTGCAGTCTCCCAGTGTTGTAGAAATTCAACACGTAGGGGAAGAGCGCAGGATTCCTGTCGAAGTAAAACTCTTTCTCGGTGTCATCGTAGTCATCGCACAGCTCCAGGATGGACTCTTTGGACTGGCACTGAAGTAGACGCGCAAGCCTCGTCTCGGGGAACCGGGAGAGTGTGTCCGACTGGAGACGCTTCTTGAAGCCGCCCACGTTGATGCGGATGTCGTCCATGTGAGCCACGCTGCCCGGTTCCCCCAAGACCTGACCTGTCATGTCTGAAGAGAGACACACACAGAGATGCACAGCGCACATAAAAAAAAAAGATTGGAAGAAAGAGGGAAAGGGCGACAAACCAAATCACATTGACACAAAAAGATTGAAAGAGACACAAAGAGAGACGCACAACCAGAGAGAAGAGAGGGGCACAAGAAAAGAGGAAGTTATTTCAAACTGACAGGTTTTATCCTTGGAATTACGATCACATTTGTTTTAACTACATAAAAAAAGGAGCAATGATGCTGCGCTGAAACAAAGGCACATGGAAGAACTTACTTTAACGCGCGTCTAGTTAACCGAATCCACCTACAAGGAGAATCTGCATTTCAACTCCATTGATGGCACATTGCTGTTCGCTGGCAACCTGTGGACCTGTAATAAAAGCAGAGACCTTTGTCCCCTTATTTCCAGACAGCCGCGTCTCTGTCAGGTTGTTTTTTTCTGAGCAGAAGAGGAGGAAGATTCTTCCAAAGGGTGTCGACGCGATGTCAAATATAATGTTGCCTCCAAACAGAGATTAATTGACGTTCTTTCCTCAGATACACCCGAAGGTTTGATGTAGCTGATCGCTCTTACATCCTGACATCCACCGGGGTTTTTACACCTCCTTCAGTTACAGGTATCCGCCACATTTATCACAGTAAATTCTGGGAGCCATAGAAACTGATACACGCCCTGGCAGCTGCTTTTGTTTGTGCGAGGGAATTCCTCTCTCTCTCTTTCTCTCTCTTTTTTCTATCTGTTGCTGCGCAGCAACACGTAGCTCTCCCTGCGCACCGCCCTCCAGGAGTAATCTCAGCATCACGGTGCTGAAGGGGCGAGGCGCAGCTCCGGGAGAGAGGAGAGGGAGTCATCACCTAACAAACACGCTTTTAAAAACAGCCTCCAGACAGAAAGCCAGGGGGAAGCTTATAATGACAAGATGAAGTGGAACTAAATTGTGGTGCGTTTAGACTACAGTGTCAGTGTGAAGTGGCTCCGGTGCCATGTTGACATGACATTATCACAGTGATGAGCATAAACACACTCAGACAAACTTGTAATCTCTTCTCGAAATGACAAATGCCAGATCATTTTGCATTAAAGCATTATATAAAAAAAAGATGGATTATAATGGCCACCCTGCTACTGCAGTGAATCAGTGTTGCACTTCAATTGAATGACACACATGAGACAGACTGTAAAATGAATTTGTGCAGCAGTAGGGAGCCGCATCCTGACTTTTATGTCCCTAGATGCCCCCCAAAAATGTGGGAGTCAACATTCCTCATGATGCAACTCATTTGCTAGTTTTACTAGACTGCCTTGGCCTAGTAAATGCACAGGGTACTCCTTGAAACTGACTGTGAAAGAAAGATTCATGATCAAAATCTCCAAGCTCAAACTGAAACAAGCCTGCAACATTGTCAACTCCCCAAAGCTCCCCCAGAGCCAAAGAAGACATTATACAACTAACAGGCTGAGAAGAAATCCTCATGATGACTCACATGAACTGCGTTTCCAAAATCACGAGCGCCCTTTGATATAACACCAAAGCAAGACTGATACTGTTGGATATCAGAGAAACGATCAAAGTCGCCTGAACGCCTCATAGGTTTTACAATAAAGATGCTGCGGTGGTTTGTGCATAAATGTTTAAAGCCTTGTTACATGCGAGGGCCGATGCTTTCATGTAGAAGTTACAACTGATTGCTGGTCATTGATCAAACTCTCCCTGTCATTCAGTTGGCCTCGATAGAATTATGATATTCAACCCATGCCAGTGTCTCCCCGTTTAAAATGATGACAATTGTCACAACAGAGTCTAACTAAGATGTTTGATCCAAGAAAAAAAATAAAAAATACACAAACAACACTGACCACTTCCACCACCTAAATGTGCTTTTATCAATTCAGCTGTGACATCATTAACAGGCCTGTCTGACAGAACATAAAGGCAGTGTTAAAGGTCAGCCTTGCTCTTATTGATTAAGCACTGAAGGTTTGTTTCACACATCCCAGTGTGTCTAATGAAGGTGATAGTGCCGGTCGACAAAGGCAGCCTCACACAAATTCTCTTTGGTGAATGCTTGTTAGTATACTATTAGTTAGGTCTTAGTCGGGAGGCATTTTGTACACAAGAAAAGGCACGATGCAGGTCAGTTTGTCATTTATAGCCTGTCTAAGCTGTTGAGTCAATACACAGGATAAACATTAGAGTCCTCTTGGTTTGTGCTGTTTTTCGCATTTTAAAAATACACTTGTGGCCAATTTTCTGCCCCAACTTTTAAGGAGTCACAAGGAAAGGTTACAGCACTACCACTTGAAGACTTTAATGCTCCCTCAGGCTGTGCCACTGTGATCACTTCAGTCTCTCCTCCTTCTAGTATCACTTAGTGGCCATCTTGTTTAAAACACCCGGCCTCAGTTTCATTCGAAAATACATTTAGGATCATTGGAAGCAATTTCCTACTTGCTGTATTGTATTGCACTGCTTGTTTGGAAATATGACCACAGGCTGCAGGCAGCATTGGAACTGTTCACGCCTAAATAACATCTTTCACTCCCAGATTTTTTTCCTCCCAGGCAGCCAGCACATTAATATTTCATACTTTTTTTCCCTCTTCTCTCCCAACAATTGGAGCTTACCATGTAAACCCATGAGACTGCATGAACAGATTGGGTCTTTACAGTTATATTCACGCATGGCTTCCTCATTCTGGATGATTTTAGGGGTTTAATGAAAACTGAAATCTATACTCTTCAGGTACTCCCAATAAGATGGTATTATAGATCATCTCAGATCCTCAGCACCCTCATATGCAGCTTGGTAGGATTTGGGAAGCTTAACAACAGCTTTGAAAATACACACAACCACTCTCTGCTGATTGCAATAATGTGAAATCACAGACTTTTCCTATTAAAGCTTCTCACTTGTGGGAACCATCTGTGGTTATATGGGAACGTTGTGCTGTGATTATAATCCTATTTATTCGGTCATTATGCTCATCCAGTAGTGTCTTATTAACTGCCTCTGTGTCATCCTCTGCTCACTGTGATTCCCTGATGTTTGTGATCCGTATGTTTTGATTATTTCTCATCACATCTTCGTTCAGTGTGTAGGAGTGTCTTTTAATGCTTGTGTATCCAACAACATGTCTTTAGCACGGTATTTGGAAGGATTTCAGATGTCAGCATCTTAGGATTAGGCAGCAGTCAGCGCATTTATCGTTTACCTGCCAGGTAGTGCTCATCTTCTGTGTAGAATACCTGATTTAGGTGTAAATAGTAGGCGTCTTCTTGGTCTGAAAGCTCCATCAGTCCTGAATGGTATCTCCGATGGCACACACACACCTCCTCAGAGTTCATTAGCGTGGGCGAAGAAGCTTGATGTTTGTAATAGCGCATGTCATCAGGACTTTGTTCAGGATTACTGAGGTGGTTTGCGCTAAATTATTTGTGCTGAAAAACTGTCCTCTGCAGATTATTCACTTTCTGCTTTTCATTGAAGCGGCCTGCTTTTGATTCATTCTCTTTCCCACATGATTGAGTTTAATGTGCTGCTTTGCGGAGGAGGAACTATTCCTCATAGCTTATTCCTCAACAAGTCTCTTTAGATCTGCTTTCTTTGTGATAGCAGGCTTTGCTTTTCAAAGAAATCCTTCAGTTTCACTTCATCATTGCAAGCTCATTTTATTCCACTGATGAAACAAGTATTCAGTTCCAGCATATTGATGTACAATTACTACATTACAAGCAAAATACTTTGATGTATATTCTTATCTGAGTAGAAGTACAGTATTATCAGCAACATATAAATGTGTAGTGCTTGTTGCTATTGTAACCAGAATATTAGCACTGATGCAGCCACACTTAAGCAGCATTTTACTGTTACAGCAGATTTATGTGGAGCTTCTCCAAAATGATGTCCAGGAGTCCAAAGGCTCACAAGATAAACCTGAGGGGATATGAGATGATTAATGGCAGAGATAAGAAGACAAAGCATCTTTTTGTGAAGCATATCTGTTCTCTTCTTGGATTTATTTGTAATTGTTTTTCTGTAAGCTACTGGATAAGTTTGCCTCTATAGGCCAGGAACACTTTTGGAATTCCCCTGAGAAGCTAGAGGCTATTTGTCTTTCTGGTACTAACATCACATTTGAGATATTACAAAGAGACCCAACCAGGTACTGTTTTTTGTTTGTTTGTTTGTTTGTTTGGGTTTGTTGTTGTTGCTGTTGTTTTTTGTTTTTTGTAAGGGGACACAAGCCCAAATGTGTGTGAGCCACTGGATTTATATTTAAGAATGAATTATATTTTGTAAGCTTATCATGTGTTTATTTTCATGTAACAGCTTGAACTAAACTAGTTATTACAGCTGTGAGATGAAGTTTATTGGAACAAAATGTTCAACATTTCACTCTCTTGCTGGAGTAGAAGTAGAAAACTGCAGAACAATGAACTACCTAAAAATGTTCCAATACATTGTAATTGCACCTGAGTGCAGCACTTGAATAAATCTGCTTTCCAACACCGCAAACAGCAATTTAAAGACCTACCTCATAGATGTATGAAGCTGCAGTTCATTGTCCACTAACATTATCTGATCCTAGATGTCTGTGAGAAGCAAAAAGTTTTTTTGGTCTCAATAAAAGGCCTCCTGCATTTTCAATCACTAGCATTTACATTCTGCACACTCTTGGCAAGCTTTCATTCACATCTCATATCTTTTGATGGAGTCTTTTGCAGAACCCTACTATAAATTTAAACATAAAATATTAGACAGCTTTATCGTTGTGTCTCAAGCCTGACGGCTGAACAGTAAAAGAAATAAAAGGTCTTCAGTATTAAAATGAGCAGTTGCTCCAATTTCAGGATCTGACCTTAAATCAGAAGAAACAAATGACTGTGTTTGCATTCAGGATGTAATCAGTTTTGAACAAAGTAATGTATATTTTAAACTGACTGATATATCAAAAGCAGCGAAAGGTGAAACTCTGGCGTTTGAGTATTTACGTCAAGCTGATTTCCAGAGGAACTTTTAAGACAATTTACACTGTGTGTGTTGAGACAAGGATACGGTTTCATAATGAGAAACTGCTCTGAGCTCTAAGGGACAAATCAATTACAGAGTTTTTAATCATTCTGTCAGTTTCAAGCTTTCATTTTCCAATCTCATATACAGTAATTATACCCACATGGTCAAGTGTAGATGGCCCATTTATCCCTAAAGAGAACCATTTTCATTGGACTTTTAGTAAGTGGGGAGGAGATAAAGGCAGGGGTAGATAAAGAGAGGATGGAGAGGACTGAATGAGAATGAGAGAGAAGAAAGGAAGAAGAAAGTATAGATACCGTTATCTCTGTCTCTTCTTTCCTTAGAAGCATGAGGTGCAGGCTCAAGCGAGAATGTGTAGGAGTTTTTTTTGTATGTGTGTGTTGACTAAATCTGCTGGTCCCTTTCTTTTACACTGCTGCCTTTATCTCTCTCTTTCTCTCCCTTCTTTGCTTTGTTTTCCACTCCCTCACTGCCTTTATGCGTCTCTTAACATTTTATAACTCCCCTTTACCCCCTCACATATATTTTTTATTCTTCTCTCGTATTTCCTCACGTCAGTCCTCCAACGTCTCTCTCCATCAGAGGTCACGGTTCAACAATGTGTTGACCTCATCCTTGACTGAAAACATCAGGGTGTCATCTGACGCCTCGCCAGGGGGACTCCATAAGCGCTGGGGAAAATGCCAAGCCCCTCTGTTCGTGACAAAAGTTGTCATTCAACGCTCACTCGGAATCCCTGCCAGCGCTGATGGATAAACCAGTAGGGTCCTGAGAGATTTATGGAAACAGTGAAAAAGGGGGAATCTATTTAGTCGTGTTATTCCGACATGTGAAATAAAATGTGCTTTCAATCGTCTTCCCTTCTTCCACTTCACGCCACAGTAATCACATCAAATGGGTCTTGATTATTATGGCAGAGGAAGCTGGCTGACTCAGGACAGAGCGCAGACAGAGAAGGAGCAGGATGAATACAGATGGAAACTGGAGACACTGATGCTCCAGCTCTCTGCTCTTGAGAATCTGAGTGTGAGTTTCAGCACAGTACCAAAACACATAACATATTAACACTTTATTAAGCGTCCACCTGACTGGAGCCTCCATGCCTGACATGATGTGCACTAATTGGCTCTGATCCCGAGCATTAATGTGTAACAGTAGCATCTGGATGACCTAAATACAGAAGCAGCACCACGACAGTAATTGGAACAATAAGATCTCATGCAAAAGGTAGAGGTCTGCCCACACAAGGAAATGGCCCTGCATTACTGCTAACACATTAATTTGTTTGCTACAGCTCTATCTAGTTTGCCAGTCAGGTGGGAGCTGGTCCACTATGTCCTTCAGATCCAAACACTCTGCCACAGAACGGACTGTCCTCTACTCTCAGAGGATAAAGGGACTTCTGATATAGAGACATTGTTGGACTCACTTTTCACTTTCCTCATTTAAATCAGAATCAGCAATGTCGCTCAGGGTTATCCAGCTGCTACACAGCTTCAATTAGCTGTACTTTTCCGCCCTCAGTACCGGAGTGAGAAGGTGACAGGTTTTCGGCTTGTAAGTATTCTATTTTCTGTATGAGGTGACTGTTTTGTTGTTGGAAAGTCAGTCAACCACAGAATGACTTTAAATGAATGACAAGAGATAACACGCCCACAAAGACATGCAAAACAGCTAAGAGACAAAGCAACCATACAATGATAATATCAACCACAAGGAGATGCAAAACGACTAAAGAAAGAAAGAGGCTGTCTTGTTCAGCCTGTTTTAATGCAGGAGGGGAGGGGAGGCCGGGGGTGGCTTATAATTAAGATACTATTTGGAGATGCAAATTGCAGCCACAATTCTTTTGGTGTTGTTCCATATATTTGAACTTGTTTATTTGGCATTCCTTTATTACACTAAAAATATGTAACTATTAATAATGAGTTTATGGATGCCAAGAATGTTGTTGTTGCATGTGAGTTTTAACACATTTCTAAATGCTTCCAAAATTCATCCCTGTATGCAAAAATACACCATTGGTAGTCTAGGTGCTTCTTCAAATTGTAGAAAAGTCTTTTCCCTTTAACAAATACATGCAGTCAACCTGAGAGTTGCAATGCTTGAAGATTTTGTGCATCTTATTTGGGGATCATTATTGTAGTTTGTGTGAAATTTGAAATGCAATTCTGTGGTATGAATAGAAATGTGGGTGAAGCCGTCATACCAAAGCGTGTGTGTGAGAGAGTAAAGGCCGTTTGTATTTGAAAGAACGCAGCGGTCCCATCTGCACAAGATAATTTTGTTTATGTTGACAACACACCAGAGCAAACGAGCATTTCTTCTTCTTCTATTTACAGAAAGGATGCCAGATCAGTGAGATCCCATAAAAGACAACACAGTTCATCCCTTTGAGTGGGACGTACCCACAGCTGGACACACACTCAATGGAGATCAGATCCTGATGTAGCCAGCCTTTTTCTGTGTCATTTTTTTTTTCTAGGATTATTCTTTTTTTCTTTTTTTTGTCTTCCTTTGAGCTGCTGATGAGGTTTGCAAAGGGGGATGATGAAAAGCAGATATGAATAAATTTGCAAATTTATACACAATGACACACCTGTTGCCTGTAGGTGAGAGCAGCACCAACCTAACAACAAGTGGGCATCATGTGGCTCTTCTAAACGGGATGTGAAATTGTCGCTCAAATCTTTCTGCCTTTCTGAATGTGCCCAGCAGGTGGCATGAGGTTTAACATCAACTGGAGCGCTGATAAAGCACGTTTTTTATTTAGTTTGAACTTAGGAGTCTCTCAAATAATGCCTTTTGTACTTTCTACCACTGGTGACCCACCTTCAACACACATTTTGAAGCATTAAACCAAACTGAATAAAAAAGCCTTGATGTTTGTATTCGTCAAATTCCTATTTCAAGATAGCCTATTAAAGAGCCAGGAGATTCAACACTAGTGCCAAGCAGAAAATGAAATCCACTTTCCATTTTAACCCAAACACTATAAATCGTCTGGCTATGTGGCTATTTCATCCGACCTTGAAATAGAATTTACAGGCAGGAAGCACAAACATGAAGGAATCTGATTATGTGAGATATGACTCCAGTTTTTCTGTTACCTGATGTCCACCTATGTCTATTCCACCTTGTGTGATCGATATTCTGACTTCAAAGTATAATTTTGCACCAAAGGCATGCATAGAAGTGCTTTTTTTTTTTAAAGCGCAAAGTACACCGCCAGGGCGCACTTCAGATGCGCAACAGGAACCGCACCTGTTGGATTATGCCTCCTTCAAGTGCACACCGTGATGTCGTACATCAGAGTTTTAAAATGCCAATGAACGTTCTCCCTGTGGGTACTGATACTTTTCTTTTTTCTTTTTCTGCTGCACTTAATTAAAAATCACTTTCATCAAGTAGGCTCCTTCAAAATAAAATCTTAAACGTGGCCGATAAAATCAGCATTCCAGCTGCATTTACAACTGTGCTGACCGGAAAGTCTATTTTCCCGACTGCATCTAAAGCCACCACAAACTCCTGATCCGGTTGAGAAGTTTTCCCTCTGAGTTTCCATCGAAGCCACAGGGACGTGGGATGCATGGGATGGGATGAGGACAGCGGACGAACATGTGCAGAGAGTCGGAGCTGTGATATGAGAATATTTCCTTATTACATGATAAGGAAAAAATGGCGAATTTAAGTTCTGCTCATGCGACTCCTCCTCTGACCTCCGCTCAGGCTCACCGCGCAGAGATTATGGAAAATCCGCTCCAGGTAAATTTGTTCCAGAAATGATTTCTTTTTTTTATTATTATTATTTTTTTTAACAAGAACATGAACACAAGTTCGTGCGTGGTTTTGATGAGACCATGTTGGCCTGTGCGTTGGAAAGATAAACGTCACTCCTTTGATCCAGGTTACATGTATTTTCTGAACCTTTCCCACCTGAGGATAAGAGTTGTTTTAGATGTAAATTGCTATCATAAGAGGTATACATTTAATCCTACAGGTAAAAATTGAAAATTTAGAAACATCTTTTTAAGAATGTAGGCTAATGCTTCCTGAAATTATCATTAAACAAATCAAATAGTTTTACTCTTATTTTTTCTGTAGCAAATGTCACAGTATTGTCAGAGCATTTTGTGTTCTGGGTGTTGTGTGTGATATGAATCATGTTGAACCTGTTACTGGGTTGTTCTACTTCACTGCCAGCTCTGCAGAGATAAGGCGAAGACTTAAGGTTTTTTTTTTTTTTTAACTCTCAGGAACTTCTCTCTAAGCTCCATTTGGAGCAGCTATAAAATCCAAGAGCAGATTACATTATAGTCCCTAAAAAAAAAACTTTGAAAGTCAAACTATAACCTCATCCTCTCAGGCTCTTTGGGTAATGAGCACTCAGTGTGGATGAGGAAGCCAGACGGGGCAGAGATCTATCGGTGTTGGCACCTTTCAAAACTATTTTCTAAAGTGATCATGAGTAAATCATCATGTTGAAAGGCTTTCACTTTCTTTTGGAACTTCTAACTTTGTCAAGTGGACTCTATTAATCTGTCTGTTAAGTTGGTGATGCAGCATGTGCACTTCTGTTGGTGCATGATAATGTGAAGACATTTCTTTCACTGTGTGTTTGCAAATTGGCTGTTATGTGTGTGTCAGTCCTCTGCCCTCCTACTCTTACGCAGAGACACATTCTCTTCATGCTCATTTTCCCCCTGTCAGTGCGTTTGTCTCTTTTTGCCGTGTTTCCTTTGGGTGACATTACCAATGGGTCCCAGAGACAGAGAGAGAGAGAGAGAGAGAGAGAGAGAGAGAGCAGAGGAGGAGTGAGAGGCGTGAGTAATGAGTAATGGCCCATGGGTGGGCTGAGAGAGAATAGATCTACTGTAAGAGTCCTGAACAGCTGGCTAATGGTCCCAGCTCCCCCTCCGTCCAGCGCTACCCACCATCCCAGAGAACATCCCAACATCCAGGGGACAATATCTGTCTGTCTCGCACTTCGGCTGCCTTCAGCGTTGAAAATGTGCTACGGTAAAAGTTACAGTAAAGTTTTGCAGAGGTCGTTCCATTGATAAGAGATGGGCAAAATGATAACTTGGATAAACTGAAATTAATTGGCTGTGGATTTCAGTGTAGTATGTAATGAAACCTTTTATGTAAAGCACAGGTTAAATTTGTGCATTGCTTATTGCAACAGCTACTGTACAACCAAGTGCTGCCAGTTTGTAGGAGGTGAAGGAAGAGAAATACTTCTGGCACAAACTTGTTGTTTCTGTAGTCCGTACACACTTAATATTTCACCTGCTGGCAACAAGTGGGCAATCCCACCTGATCCTACAGTCATTAAGCTATGTCCGATATGTCTTGCACTTTGTCATGTAATTTGCACATTTTAGCCCCCTGAGTAATAAAACAATTGATTTTAATGATCCAATGCCCATACTGATTCTAGCTCTAATACTTGTAAGATTGTAAGAAAAGTCAAGTATGTTAGTTGTCCTTTTAGCTGGTTTCTCCTGGTGTTAGTTTGATCTCTTGATTTTAACTTACTAAGTAAATATGTAGTGTGAGCTTAAACACTAAAGGGAGTAAACAGAAACAATCTACTGTTGTCCCATAGAGGATTTTTGCATGCATCCCTCCTGTGGCTTCTTGTCTGTTTCAGGATTCATTTTGAAGACTTTTGTTGTTTGTTTTTAGGGTTTTGAAATAGTTGACACCACCTTATTTAGGAGAACTTTGCTTCAGCACTGAAGTCGAGCAACTAGATGCTCTTAGATGCTCCAAGATGCATGCACAAAAATAGAAGTAGTCACAGCTCCTAATCTGTGCAGCAGTTTACTTTTCATGGAAGAACTACTTTCACTTTAGAAACTTTTAAGTTGCTGCTGAAAACTATTCTCGTTGGCATTCGATTCAAGTAGAGCTTGACAACCTGACTTCATCTTTTATTGAGTTGTAGCTTTTTATTGTTACTATTTTACAGTCTTCTTTTATTCTTGCAGTCAGTGTGTATTTTACTGTTTTATGCCTAACTATGATAGCTGTGAAGAAATTAGGTTCAGCTCTTGTTTTTAAATGTGCTTCATGAATACATTTCACTTTAACTTCGTAGTTAATATTATTCTCTATAGCTTAACATCGAAAACAAAACTCACTAATTCAGGATGGCAGCATGAACAGAAATCCTACAGACATGCCTCCATCCTTCTCTCTTTGTCTTTCTCGCCCATCTTCGTCACTGATTTGACACTACTCTCGCCTCTTCTGTACCCACCACCTCTGAGCAGAAACTGAAGGGCTTCATCCACATATCAGCCCATCCCAGGGAGGGACAGATCCCTATTGTCAGTGCACACAAAGGGCCATGCTGTCTGTATGTCTGTCTGTCTGTCTGATTGTTGGTCAGTGTCCTAGTGAGGAGGACCAGGAGGATTAGTGCTGTCAGTCCCTTCATCAGTCTTCAAGCCCATTCAGCTTTAGATTCAGACTTTCATTTAGTAGCAGCTAAAAATGGTTTGCAAATGGGAGGGACTGCCGGTCTGATCGAGTTTGCTTTGTGCACGTACAGGCTTAAAACTGTCAGAGGAGTAGTGTGTGTGTGTGTGTGGATGTGTGGTTTTATCGGGTGCTTTTATGAGGATGATAAAATCCTTCACAAGGACAGATGTAGGGTACAGGATTAGGATAATAGTCAGAATTTAAATTGCATTCAAGGTAAAACATAAAGTTCAGGTAAAGGTTGTGTGTGTGTGTGTGTGTGTGTGTGTGTGTGTGTGTGTGTGTGTGTGTGTGTGTGTGTCTTCATCGGTGGATGTATTATGCAACGTCTGTACCTTGAGGGTGAGAAACATCCAGTGAGAAATTACTAGAAACTAAAACTGATTTTACCACTGACATTTATTTAATAGAATTTACACAAGACACTGGCTGCAAATTAATTCTGGAGACACAGAACTGCAGTACGTCCTCCAGAGGACAGTAAATTTAGAAACAGTGTTGTGAGAAGACTTTGACTGAGCTGTGATGATGAATGTGCTCATGCTTGAGTTTGTCACAATGACTTTTAAGTGCTCTGCAAAAGAACGGCAGGATCTTTATTTGATGCATTGCCTATAGTTTCCTCACAGTCGGTATCAGTGTCAGGTTAAAGAATCCAATTACCTTCTCTGATTGTCACTGTAATTTCACTGTTTCTTCTTAAGACTCTGGCAGCAGCATTAAAAACTATATCATTGTGTTGTTTGCCGGTTAAGCTTACAGTTCTTCAGTGTCATTCATTCTCTGGTGACATTTAGTGCTATTGAATTCATTCTTTGTAACAAATTAATTAAATTTTTCCAAAGCTAAAAAAAAATAAAAAAAACAACACTGGAGTGTAATCGTCTTTCTCATGTGGCTGGCCCGACACAACCCGACAATTACAGATGAAATATCAAAGGCAAGAGCAAGAACTGGAGTAGTGAAGGAAGAGTGCCCGAAAACAGCTGGATACCTGTAACGCAGAGGCAGTGGTGGGAGAAGTACTCACAACTTCTATTTAAATCAGACTCACTATAGCAGAATTCCTATATGTCCTGCATTGAACAAGGTAAAGAACAGAGTTATTACTATTTAAATATACCTAAAGAATTAACAGTGACATGAAACCAAATGCAGAATGGCTTCTGTCAGAGTGTAATGTTAGTAACCTTTTTAATTAGCCTGGCAATCCTAAATATGGAACAAAGAAGAGTCTTTAGTAGAATCCCGAAAGCAACAATCCCATTGTTACTGTCCCAAAGGGTATGACATCATTTAATAGACTGTATATAAACAAAATTAAAAAACAATCTTCAGTAAAAAATTAAGAGATTAAAAAGCAATAATGAAACCCAGAATCCTTGACAATAACTCAGAGTTTTTTTAATTACATCTTTTGTATTTTATCTTTTACTACTCTCATAGGGTGTGATTATGTGTTTTTACTCGACTCCAAGAGATCCCTGCACAAGAATTCCAGAGTGCCTCGACTGTCTGTTTGTGCACAAATGGCAAATAAAGACCGTGAATCCTTGAATTCTTGGACAGACTCACAGTGTGTGGTCTATTGTACTGATCCACACTTTGCCAAGCAACAAAGCATCCCTTTTCTTTGAAGATGGAACCTGTAATTTCACCTCACTAGTACTTAGGGACCCCCTCTGCTGAAAATCAAGTTCTTTACCTTGCTAACATGCCTGTATGGTGTTTCTTTACATGGTAGGAGACACATAACAAGCAAAATAAGCAGTTGACACCATGGCTGAGCATTTTCACTTTAAAGCCGCAGTGTACTAATGACAGTCTCAGAAACACAGATTCAGACAGCCAGGGTTTCATCTCGTCAACTCACAGGGCTTTCTGTGTCCTTCTTTTTCTTCAGAATCGGTTTCCAAGTCAGACAGGTCTGGCTGAATTACTCCAGTATTACACAGTGCCATTGTGTAGTGCAGAGTACACTTTGAGAAGAGTCATAGGTGAGCTGGTGTTCTTAAGCTACACAGAGTGGGAAGGGATTTGTGGAGAAAGAAGCAGGGACTTCATAGATCTGCACATTTTAGAAGAAGCAGCACTACACAGAGATGAGTTTTAGGGATTTATTCAATGACCTGAATTATTTCTTCCTCTCTATCAGGAAAGCCGAGCACTAACTGCTCTGCTATAATTGAATGTTATATCGTTACGTATGTATTTCTAATTATTGACTCGTTATTGTATTTACGCTAATTTCAACTACTTATTGGTAATTTGATCTC